CTTATTACACGGAACAATTACAGAATTACCGGGAACAATTCTCCGGTGGATTTGGTTCAATATATAAACAATGTTTCCCCCCTCCCGGGGTGCTGAGGAATACTCTCCGGGATCTCTGACTTTATTATAAATGTTGCTGTACAGAGATAAGACAATTCTCTATCTAGCAGGTAAGAGAACAATATTGCTTTACAATCACATCTATCTGATGTTTGAATCTTTCCAGCTACACCAGAAGACTGATCACTGCGATGGTGATACAGGATGTCAGGAAGGAATGGAAATGACCAATGATGTATCCAGTGCTGCTTTTTATTAGAATGGCCTCTAACACCACGCAGGATTCTACTCCTTAGAAATTACTGTATCAGGCAATATATCCTCTGCCTGGCTGATCTGCTCTGTAGGAAACGACCCGTTCATTGTGCACAATATCTCATAGCTGGTTTAGATTAAGATAGACATATATCCAAGGGCCGGATTCACTCTCTCTGCTGCCCCAAGGCCAGGTTCTTTGATGCACCCCCCTCCCCGCCAACCCTTGGCAGGGTTGGTTTGAATTATTTTTACTTTTTTATCACTTTTTTAATTATTTCTTATCACCATTTACTTTTTAATTTCTATTTTTTTTCATTTTTATTTTGTTTCACTTAACTTTATTGCTGTCACACAGGAGCTAACAAGCCCTGTGTGATAGCATTTGGAGGTGACAGGTTCTCTTTATTACATGGTTACATAGTATTTGAGGTTGAAAAAAGACATAAGTCCATCAAGTCCAACCCATAGCGTGTGTGCATTTATGTTTGAGCAGGTGTGTGCGTGTATATGAGTCCATGTGTGATTTTGCTCTTAGCAGTACCTGTACCCCTGTATATTACGGTCTCCAAGGAAATCGTCCAATAGTTTCTTGAATGATTCCACACTCTTAGCTGAAATCACTTCCTGTGGCAGTGAGTTCCAGACCTTAACCGCTCCAACTGAGAAGAACCCCTGTGTGTTGACATTTTTTCTCCACCAGTTTTTGGTGGTGCCCTCTGGTCTTTGTTATGGGGTTAACCGTAAACGGTTTGTTAATAATGTTGCTATCACCATTGAACATTTTATACAAGAAAGTCATGTCCCCCCTTAATCCCCTTACTTCCAAAGAGAACATATTTAATTTTAACAGCCTTGTCTCATAGCTCTGGTCCTCCAACCCCTTAATGAGTTTGGTTGCCCCCTTTTTCCAGCTCAAGTACATCTTTTCTGAATACTGGTGACCAAAACTGGACCGCATACTCCAGATGAGGCCGAACCAGTGATCTTATTGTGAACGGTTGTTCTCCGCTGTACACCCTGCTCTTCATCCTGAACTACCTTGCCGGGGACCCCGAAAAACCATGGCACGGCGGTCAGCGGGGAGAGGCAGCCAGAGGTGGGGGCTGACCATGTAGGGGGGGTAGCAGGGAAGGATGGACAAGCAGGCTAATTACAAGTGATCTCGGCAGCACAGAGATCACTTGTACAAAATGAGCTGCAGCTTCCCCGCTCTACATTTAGCCCTGCTGCTTGCCTGAAGCAGGACTAAATGTAGAAAAAAATTCCAATTCAGCGCCCGGAACTGCGTGTCCCGGGCATTGGGTGATAGGAATTCCATACCTCTGCTGCTACTCTACTCCCTGCTGCCCCAAGGCTGGGCCTTGGTGGCCTTGTGGGAAATTCACATAGCCCTGAAAATCCCTGAAAGCATTTGTTCTTTGCCTGCATATATCCATAATATTCAACTCTCTTTTCCATTATAAAACAATCTCTTCAATTTACTCAACTCCTGCATGTAAACCCCGGCTAAAATTACAACAGGGGTGTTTCTGAGACACCCAACACTGTATATTAGAGTGTCAGAGATTTTTACATAACCATATAAACATCAAAAACTGGACAAGTGTGAGGATTTGAGGGACTCTGACAAGGACCAAATTACTGGGTCAGATCAACTCCAAAACTGCAGCTCTTTTGGGATGTTCCCTATCTGCAGTGGTCAGGACCAACCAAAAGTGCTCCAAGGAAGGAAAACCGGTGAACCGGAGACAGGGTCATGGGTGGCCAAGGCTCATTGATGGACGTGGCAGGGTGAAGGCTGGCCCGTGTAGTCCAATCCAATAGAAGAGCTATTGTAGCGCAAAAGGCTTGATGCCAGATACCACAGCATACCTTCAGGGGTCTAGTGGAGTCCATGCCTGCTTTGGCGCTTCAAGGGAGACCTACTCAATATTAGCCGGGTGGTTGTAATGTTATAGCTGATTGATGTACATACAAATTATTTTAACGCTAACATCGAAGGTCACTACAAATCACAAACTGTAATAAGCATTTATATAACACATGTACCATGATCAACACATACACCATGTTTGACTTCAGCCCAATCTCTGGTTGTCCAGCAATCGGCACTGGAAACTGCCAGCTATTACCAGCAACACCATGCAACTCTTAAATATCTATTTACACACACAGGTTGAACTGGATGGCTCTTGTCTTTATTCAACCTCACCTACTATGTTACTATGTATTTATAAACAATTCACATAGCCCTGAAAATCACTGAAAGCATTTGTTCTTTGCCAATTTGTGTCGAGATTGTAGTCCATCACAGGAGCGGTGACTACCTTACAACACACACAGGACCATGGGCAATAAAAGTAGCCCCCCTCCAGAAGGAAGGACAGTGTCAGAGATGATTGGAGGATGTACAGCCGAGTGATACACAAATAAGATACATTGTTGTTCAGAGTTAAGATCCTTAAGTGTATTTTTAAGGTTTAAGTCCTGCGTTTAGTGTCACTTTAAGATAGGTTAGGGGGAAAGGGGAAGAGCTGGTGGGACTAGGAATGGTGGTGGGCAGGGCAAGGAGTGGTGCTCCCAACTGATTTAACAGCTACTAGCTCAGTAGACCCTCTCAGCAGCCAGGGGAAAATCCCCACCCACCAAACTTTATTTACAAGTGATTGTTAGTCATTTTGGTTGCCACAGGGGGTTGGGGAGACATTCGCCATCTCTTTTAGAGTTTTTGAGTCACGTTGTGACATGAAGTCATGAAGTTCAAGCGACATGAAATTAATTTTGGTTTCGTTAGCAATGTTTGTAATTACCTGTAATTTCTTTCTCCATGAAAAGATCTTTCTTGTCATAGCTGGCAGTGTCCCTTGGCTGACTTGGATGACATACAATGCTGGCAGAGTGGAACGTGATGTTTTAATACAATCAGACGTGACTTGATGGTAGGTAATCACTCCTGGCAGCAATGAGAGATTGGCTCTTCATCCCTGGCCAGACTGCTTATGTTTTTTGTTGTTATAGAACATTCTAGCGGCTTAAGCCCTAGTAAGCTCCTGAACAAGGGTGCATGGCCTGGGGGGCAGTATTGTCTTCATGCAGAAAGAGGTTGGGCTTGGAGTTGGGCAATTTTCACTACTCAGGTCAAAGGAACTCTTATTTGTTGAATTCCTAAATGTCAATGTTCTCAAAGTATCAACGTTCTCAATGTTCTCCTCTTCTATAGTGCCTTTGTGTTTAAGCCGTGGCTGATGAAACCTGTATCATTCAAATGCAATAGAGTAAGTATAAGTACCTGTGTATTATTTGGGAGGCGGTGTGTGGTTGGTAAGGGCAATTGGGTTATTTGACCTTGTGGGTTAGATGAGCACAGTAACAGGATACAAAATATTCATTCTTATGGGCACTGTTATTTTATATTCTACAACAGGTCAACATGTCACGTTTAAGTACAAGGATGGGCCACATAGACAGTCACACCTTTATCTGTGGGCACTGTGGTAGATATAAATGGTAATTGGAAATATTTTACATTTAAACTTCTTCTAACCATTATTTTAATTTCAGAATCTTGCAGTAAGCAACTTTGTTCACTACCTACCCCCATCTTCAGCAAAAATTCACTGCCCAGGACATACCCACAAACTTCACACTGTTCCCTGCTTGCCAAACCACAATTCCATAGGTGACAAAGGTAACAAGGCCAAGCTCAGACAACTTTACACAGCATTTGCATTCAAAGGCTCACTCAATCCAGCCTTACTCAACCTTTTTCAGTCACGGCACCCTTTATGATGTGTGGTCCCTCTAAAATACATACCAGACCCTTATCCAAGATAGGGGTCTGGTATAGATTTTAAGGGGGAAGCTCATGCAAGAATACAAAAATGTGTGGCTCCCCTTTACATTAGAGCCCCTCCTTTTAACATCAGGATCCCCTTCACATCAGGGTGCCCCATGTTCACATCAGAAGCACCTCTTCACACCAGGCCTCCTCCTTCACATCAGGAGCCCCCTTCCACATTATAGTCCCCCTTCACATTATTAGACCCCATCACATCAAAGCCCCCCAACTTGCTTCCTGGCACCCTGGTTGAATAAGGATGTTTTAGAGCTGGGGCCATTCTAACTATCATGGCCACCCACCACCTGGCAACAATCACCTGGAGCTACGGCTGTGCTGAATGTTGTACCCACCCACCACAAGCTACAATCAGCCACAGCCGATCTCCTAGCAATGCACCACCACCTTCATCATACACCTTTAACTGAACTGGCAGAGGAGACATTCAGTGGGCAACAAGCATGGTGTCTCTGGGCAGCTTGCTTGACATTCCAGACATAAAATATAATTACAATATATTATTACAACTTTATTACATTTTAGAGCATGAAGACAATGATAAGATAATGTTTCAGACTGTGCTTATAGCAGGATCTTACGTCATGATTATGCAGTAAAACGGGATAAGACACAATGGAAAACCAGCTTCTTGTGATAAACAAATTCATTGTAACATCCTACACTTCACTTGACGCTGTTATATTATCCACACTACCCACAATTCATAGCTTCCTTCTGTTTATTTTCATGTTAGATGTTGATTAGTTGTTGCATCCAGAAATTGTGATTTGTTTGATATTTGAAGCCGTGAAATAGTTTAATTGAAGCATTATCAAAGAAGCCAATGGATATTAAAAACAAGACACGAGTGACCATGTTTGAGTTTTCTGGACTGACTGATGATGAAGAACTTGTCCCGTTCCTCTTCACATTCTTTTTTCTGGTTTATATGGTGACCATAGTAGGAAATATGGGGATGTTAGCCGTTGTCTGTGTATGCTCCAGCCTTCACACTCCGATGTATTACTTCTTGGGTAGCCTTTCTCTGGTGGATATTTTGTACTCCTCAGTTATCACTCCGAATTTGTTGTCTCACTTCCTTTCCTCAAAGAAGTCCATATCATTTCTTGGCTGTGCCCTCCAGTTTTACTTCTTTTGCTCGCTGGTATGCAGTGAGACTCTTCTTCTCTCCACCATGTCCTATGACCGCTATGTGGCTATCTGCCACCCTCTCCACTACACCTTGATAATGACCAAGAAGAAATGTTTCGGTTTAGTCTTTTCTTCTTCTTTTGTTAGCTTCTTACAATCAGTTGTGCAGACCAGTTGTGTGTTCAGTCTTCCATTCTGTGGATCAAACCATATTGACCATTTCTACTGTGACATCGCGCCGCTGCTCAAATTGTCCTGCTCCAGCACTCTTCATTGTAATATTGTGACTGGCATCCTTGTAGCAGTCTGTGGAATGTATACAATGATGACAATCTTCCTCTCATATACTTTCATATTTATCTCAATTTTTAGAATGGCATCCACTAAGGGCAGACAGAAGGCCTTCAGTACATGCTCCTCACATATTATTTGTGTCTTGATCTTCATGACAGCCGTCTTTTTTGTCTATCTGCGTCCTCATTCAGGGACCTTTGACAAACAAGACAAAATGGCTTCTGTCTTCTATACAATAATTACTCCAATGCTGAATCCCCTTATCTACGGCCTGAGGAACCAAGAGGTGAAGCGGATCTTTGTCCAAACAATTCTGAAGTATTTCTGATGTACATATAACACATCTCATGTGAAAGGAGTTTTAAGCACTTGCAGGAGGGAAAATGGCCATTTAAACACCGGAAACCATAGAATGCTTGTTAAACAATTTAAGCAAAGTCTGCATCAGATGGTCAGATAAAGCTCTGTCCACACTCTTTTTAAGGTTTAACCATTACTCTCTCTCTCTCTCTCTCTCTCTCTCTCTCTCTCTCTCTCTCTCTCTCTTTCTCTTTCTCTCCCTCTCTCTTTCTCTTTCTCTCCCTCTCTCTTTCTCCCCCTCTCTCTTTCTCTTTCTCCCCCTCTCTCTTTCTCTTTCTCCCCCTCTCTCTTTCTCTTTCTTTCCCTCTCTCTTTCTCTTTCTCCCCTCTCTCTTTCTCCCCTCTCTCTTTCTCTTTATCCCCTCTCTCTTTCTCTTTATCCCCTCTCTCTTTCTCCCCTCTCTCTTTCTCTTTATCCCCTCTCTCTTTATCCCCTCTCTCTTTCTCTCCCTCTCTCTTTCTCTCCCTCTCTCTTTCTCTCTCTCTCTTGTATTTTATCCCTGATGAAGCAGAATGTGTGAGACCCCAAAACATGTTGGCCTCCCAATTCTCTTACTTATTCAATAAAAAATTAATAATTTTGGACTCCTAGGTGCTGTTACTGCTTTCTAGGGTGCCATGCAGGAGCTCCCTTTTGATTTGGGGTTCTTTGTTGTATGGGAGCACCCTCACCGAAGAAGTTCAATGTAATATTGGACATTAGTAGTAGAAAATCTAGCACTTTCCATGCAAGCACTCAGCAATGACATTCTGACATGGGTTTTAACCTTGAAACACTTGCCTAGAAAAATATATTCTTAGAATGTAACCCCTCGGGGCAGGGCCCTCCCTACCATCTTGTCTTGAATTGTATTGTTATTGTAATGTCTTCCTTATATTGTAAAGTGCTGCGCAAACTGTTGGCGCTATATAAATCCTGTATAATATTAATAATAATAATGCCGTTTGTGCCTGTGCTGGAAACATTATTTAAGTTTCATCATAATGCTAATTTAAATGGATATCATATAGAATAAAATGTACTAATAGATGAATGGATTATACAAAGAGAAGCAGATGTTATAACAGTCATTGAGTGAAAACTTCAATAAAAAGAGGGACACTGGGTTTAAAGAAGCAGCAGTCATGTTCAGTATATACTGTGGCAGTGCAGTGTATTGCCATGGTGTAGTTTGGCAACTGTGGCAAAAACCAAAAAAAGGGAAAGAGGGAAGCGCCACTAACCGGGAAGGAGTTATGGTTGGTTGTGAGGGTGGTCCGACTCACTTAATGGTGATGGGACCACCCTCACAACCAACCAAGCTCCACGGAGCGGCCCACCATAACTCCTTCCCAGTTAATGGTGCTTCCCTCTTTCCCTTTTTTTGGTTTTCATTACATATGTCAGACACCCCGGTCCATACTATCAGGAAGCCACACACCAGCATCACCCCTCACACATAATTTTATACACACTTGTGTGTGGATTCTCACTTCAGAGCACTGGTCTTCTGGACTGCCCTTACAATTTTTCATTGGTAACTGTGGCACCCAGGACTCTCAGCCAGAGGGGCTGAGAGGGTCCAGAGTGATAAACATTTGATAAGGAAGAACCTGGCTTTTCAGATTCTTCCAGGTTTTCCTAATTATAGCTGGGATCCTGTGCTCTGGAGATTTCTTAGAGCTCTGGGTTGGATGAAATCTCCAGTCCTGGAGCCAGGTTTTGCCAACGACCAGTCTGGGCTGATCAGGTGGCTGAGAGCAGCCTCATTAAGGAGCCAGACCAGAGCTCAGGGGAGAGGTGGTGTGGTGTGTGCTGGAGGCACACGAGAGCCAAGCCGGGTGGTGTGGTGGAGCCACACACGGAACAGCCAGGGAGGCTGGAGGATTGGATAGGCTGAGAGAGCCAGGCACATTGGTCTTCTGGACTGCCCTTACAATTTTTCATTGGTAACTGTGGCACCCAGGACTCTCAGCCAGAGGGGCTGAGAGGGTCCAGAGTGATAAACATTTGATAAGGAAGAACCTGGCTTTTCAGATTCTTCCAGGTTTTCCTAATTATAGCTGGGATCCTGTGCTCTGGAGATTTCTTAGAGCTCTGGGTTGGATGAAATCTCCAGTCCTGGAGCCAGGTTTTGCCAACGACCAGTCTGGGCTGATCAGGTGGCTGAGAGCAGCCTCATTAAGGAGCCAGACCAGAGCTCAGGGGAGAGGTGGTGTGGTGTGTGCTGGAGGCACACGAGAGCCAAGCCGGGTGGTGTGGTGGAGCCACACACGGAACAGCCAGGGAGGCTGGAGGATTGGATAGGCTGAGAGAGCCAGGCACACAAGGTGTGTGGAAAGCTGCTGGAAGCAGCTAAAGAACATGCAGTACCCCTAAAGCATTTTGTTGATGCAAATGTTAAAGTCCTGGGACTGGGACATTGTGAGTGAACAGGACAACCTTGAGTCGGTGAGACAATATACACTGTACTTTGTCTTACTGTATATGCTGAAGTTAAGCCTGAAGTTGTGTTTTTCACCTGCGAGTGCCTAAACAGAAGAATAAAGACTTGTTGTATATGGAAAACCCTGTATGAGTGCTCTGTGAGCTCCCCAACATTACAATACACGCAGATGGAAACTGTTTCAGTAATGTTTGTAATTGTCCTTTTATGACCTATCTCCACGGCAGTATGCCAATAGCTTGAATTTGTCCTTCTCAACCCCAAGGGACCAATCCATGTGTAAAACCTGTCCCTATAAACCCTTATTTGGTAACTGTGTCTTAATATGGTATATTGTCTGGGAATCCTATGTTAACATGGAGATAATCCAGGAAAGGAGAATTACTAGGGATGCACAGATACTTTTTAAGTACCAGTGCAGATACTTGGCATTTTCATGAGAACTACCAGGGTTGCAGCGGTTGCAGCTGGGACCTGGCTCTGGCACTCCACCACTGTCCTGAAATCATTAGTCTGTATTGTTTTAGAAAAACTGTCACATGACAATAAACAAAAATGTATCAGTACTCGTACTTGTAAGTACTCGGCAAGTACCAGTACTCGTACTCGCAAAACTGGTATCTGTGCATCCCTTTATTTATATTTATAAAAACAAAATCACATTAAAACCGAGATGTACAAATCCCAGGAGCTCCGTGTGCTCCTTACAAATGACAGCTGCCTCCTAACTTTTACATTTTTCTCTAGTGTAGTCTCGGAGCTCAAAAGTATCGGTACTTGTACTCGTACCTGTACCGAGTACTGTACTTGGTATCTGTGCAACCCTAAAAATTACTGTATGTATTGAAACATTTTTCCAATATCCTGACAAGCAATGGTAAAATACAAATGGGAAATAACGGAACATCAAAGGGTAGGGGATGATAAAACTATTTGATCATGAGAGCATACAGAATTATTTACCATGGTCAGAGAAACCAGCACAATCTGATATGAGATGTGATGTAAAAGGTATAAGTATAGGGTAAAGTACCACCCTAACCGTCCCCTCCACTCTTCCAAAGACCTCCCATGCTCGCCTCCAGGACTTCTCTACAGTCTCTCCCATCCTATGGAGCTCTTTTACCCCACCTGTCCATCTATCTCCGACTGACTTTAGGCGATCCCTTAAGACTCATCTCTTCAGGGAAGCCGATCCCACCTCAACCTAACCGCTCAACCATCACTTTCACAAACGATTCATCCCCACACAGCTACCTCCTCATGTATCGCTTGCCCCTCCCTTTTAGATTGGAAGCCCTCCTTACCATCTTGTCTTGAATTGTATTGCAATTGTAATGTCTTCCTTATATTGCAAAGCGCTGCGTAAACTGTTGGTGCTATATAAATCCTGTATAATAATAATATTAATAATAATAATAATACTGGCGTGGTCATTTGACCTTTATCCCTTCCGATCTCTTGCACCTAACTGTTGGACACTGAAGCTACTAGTCTTCACTATGGACCATTAGTGAAGAGGGGTGGAGGTGGGATGGAATGGCCTATGTGCCATCATAAGCAATTACATTGACATAATAGAGCAATTCACATGGAAGAAGAAGCATTCAAGCACTTATAGTCCTTCGCTGCATTGACATACTAGTATCGGTTTATTTCAAGGCAGAAAGGAGGGGTTTGGTCAGGTGATGGATTACATGTAATGACAGTTGCCCAGTCTTGCAGTTTTATTACATCAGGAAGCAGTTTCACATCTATGAGTACTCTGCTGACATTGAAACCTTCAAGGCGAAATAGCATTGAGAACATCTGTACTAATCCATACTGCTCCATCTTGGGAAACCAGCACTGGAGAGGATCAGCGAGTGCCTCCCTCATATCAGGAACCACTAACCAAGAAAAGCACATATTTGTGTAGCAGCCTAGAAGTGGACAATGTACGAGGTCTATGTGTGACTTTCTTCTGATGGCCTTTGCTCCTTTGTCCCCTGTCATGCCTTTAACCTGCTTCCACCACCTGTATTCATATATGTGGCAGCACGAAGGTGGACGGCAAGTCAAAGTCATCAGATGACCAGGAAACCTCTGGGGTTATCAACACTCAAAGGGTTGGCTCCTAGAGGAGGGAAGGGGTTACCATTGTGTCCCTGTTTTACTGCTGTGACTAATAAGCCAAGTTTGGGTTTTGTCTTCTCTACAATAGTGCATATGACTGTTTACAGTAGACCTTTCAATGTATGGGCTCTTGCTCTGTGTGCTTTGTATGTTCTGCCTATGTGTGCTCAGACTCTCTATGCTCTGTATGTTCTGTCTGTATGTGCTCTGACTCTCCATGCTCTTTATGTTCTGTCTGTGTGTGCTCTGACTCTCTATGCTCTGTATGCTCTGGTTGTATGGGCTCAGACTCTGTATGCTCTGTATGTTCTGTCTGCATGTGCTCTGACTCTGTATGCTCTAACTGTTAATGTTCTGTGTGTGCTCTCACTGTATGTACTCTGTCAACATGGACTCTAAATGTGTGCAGGAACTCTCCAGTACTGCTCACAGGAAGCAGGAACTGCTCTTCTCTTTACACAGGATAACAACAATATCAGTGGTCCTATTTTCAGAGGATGACATCACTGGGGACAATTCCCGGACGGGTTTGTCTCTCTCTCCGGGGTGCCCAGAATGTCTCTCTGTGCTCTCTGGATTTCATATAAAAGTCATGTTGCTTTATTGAGATAGAACAATTACATTTCCAGCAGGTAAGAGGATGAGATTCCTTTCATAGTGCAGTTGTCACTTAGCTCGGGTCTAAACACGCCATGAGCGGGCATTGTTCAGCAGCAGTCAGTGCAGCGGGGAACAATAGAGACCTTCATACCATTCAGAGGTGTTCAGTGATACTTTTCAGCTTTTAATAAAAGATTCTCTATCCTGCAGCAAACGTTCTGCCCGGCCGATCTCCGGTTACTTTATTACACATTCATTGTTTGTGCACTTCTTTTCTTCTTCTTGAGCCTTTTCTCATTATTTACAAGTTATACGCTGACTCCTCCAATCAGCTATTTTGCAGATACATTTTTTAATAGTGCTTGCATTTTTTTGTTTGTTTGTTTTTCTTTTCCCCCCCTTGCATATCACACTAGAAGAAAGCCCAGCACCAGCTCTGCACATGAGACCATATGAGCAGATGGAGGGAGTGGGGCATGTCTCTTCTCCAAATGATTTGGCTGTCTGGGTGTTCTAAGTAGAACCCAATGGCTCGAGACCCAATAGCACTAGGTTATTCAGAATCTTTACAGCTTTGTAGTATAGTGCTGCAGAAAACCCGCGGTCAGCAGATAAGATCCTTACACAGACTCTCACATATATCTTTAAAAAATGTCCTGAACATCAAAGGACAAGTTCAGGAATGTTATAACAATGGCCGCGCCCCGATCCCTGGTCCCTAAATACATTGAGCTGAGCCATCCTTCTCACAGCTGCCTCCTTTGATGTCTGCAGCCTGGCCGGTAAAAATCTAGCGTCGGGATGCCGCTACCTGCTCACAACATCCCATGGACCGGAAAGGAACATTGCTCCTGCAGTACAGGTACATCACATTCAAGTCTATGGGACTTTAGGGCACAGGTGCGGGCAGCTCAGCATTGGATTTTTACAGGCCAGACTGCAGACAACGTTGGAGGTTACAGATATTGGAGGAGGTAAGAAAGCAACTGCGGGGCGGGGGGTTTGCTAAGATTAGTGTTTAAGGGGGTAGGGAGGAGGGCTGGGTCACTGTCATTGCATTCCTAAAATTTTCCTTTAAACATAAATAGAATTGTTTTGAAGAAAGACTAAAAATTCCGCTTACATGCCTCTCCCACATTTTCACCTTTTTTGTAAGCCCGGCCCTAGAGAATAAAGGCTTTGGCTATACCTAGTACATGAGCTTGGAATGGCCATTGTTCTCTGTGGCTAGGCTCATCGCATGCACAGTGGTTTAGGAGACTGCAGGGGTTACAAATCCAGAATAATTTAAGGGTAGTCCTACTGTCAGTAATTTCATTTACAAAATGAATGGAGGCCAAAAGATAAATGCGCCATTCTCCAGTATCCTCCACTCACTTGTTTATTTCAAAGAGGTCACATCACCCAACTGAGTCTCTCCCACTGATGCCTTTCACCATCTATTGGGCTTTATAGCGGGGTACAAAATATAAGGGGAACAGGGTGAAGGTAGAGGTGTGTTTTTCATTTTTATAAATGCAGCTCCAAGTGGCAGCCCCCAAAAATAGCGCATCTGTAGCTTCTGTAAATGAAAATCTACAAAACCAAGAATTGTCCAGCACTTAGCTGGACTTATTGTAGTAGTATGTAACCAGTACTGTAACGCCCTTTGGGGTCATCTGCAACTGCATTACCTCTGCTACTGATTGATTCAAACTCAGTATAAAATGTAGAGAGCCATAGCTATTATAGGCAACCAACTCAAGGCCATTTTCATAATTTGGAAACATGGGAGGGGGGGGGGGGGG